TGAAGAGTTGCAGTGGGGGAGCTATAAGCAAAACTTGGAGACAGAGGCAGTGTGGAGAAGGCAACCCTGTATGAGCTCTAAATGTAGGTTGAGAGAAGCAGACAACCTATGGTGACCCAGCTAGGTTGGAGCTAGGGGCATATATTTCTGATCCAATCTCACTAGTCCCCAACTCCCTGCTACTGTTCTGCACTGGCAAACTCAACAGGAAGCCGAGGGCAAGGGAGCATGGTGAGCTGTTTCTACAAGTCAGCCTCAGCAGGGTAGAGGGGTTATGAGTGGATTTTCAGGGACTAAGGAGCATCATCCAGTGCATCTCCTGATGAGAATACAGGCATAGAAAGTGCATGAGCAGATGAAAAAAAATTAAAAAGAGAAGACACGCAAGTATAGGTGATCAGAATGTAGAGTCATTGGTTGTATCATTTTTATTGGAGTCTCATTTCTGCTACACTTCTTGTAATGCATTTTGAATTGATTTTAGAAATTAATTCTATAGTTTTCTTGTGGCTAACACAATCATATTGTGTTGAACTTTTTTCAGGTTAAAAACATCAGTTCATTCAAAGTAAACCTGTGAGGAATACCACAATTTAAAAACTCTTTTGGAATTGTGTGTATGCACCATTTTTTAAACATTTGAGAGACTTGACCTCTACCAAACACAAGGACAAAGTTGTGTTCCAGTCTCAGAGAGATTGGCTTCCCAGTCATGCATCCAAGCAGACAATCAGGTCCAGAACAAGACAGGAATCATTTGTCAGGACAGAGATGAAAGATGGGCATCTTGATTGAAAGACCGAACATCAGAACTAGGGCAAAAGACCAGACACAGGCCAGAGTTGAGTGGACTTTATAGCTGTTATTGAGTTCTAAGTCAGGATTCTTTCAGTGTTCTCTGATGATGGATCAATTGCTCATAGAACATGGAGAATTGAGCTGAGTTTCCATGAGGAGACCAGGCGGCCCCAGGTACTGATGAGAGACAGTATGAATGCAGGGAAGGTGGCAAAAGCATTTGACAATTGCAACCATTTTCCCCAAAGTAGCTGCTTCTAGTGTGCCCACCTGTGTCAATGATGCTAACATGGGGAGGAGAATCAGATTTTTCTTAGTGGCATGCTAGTTTATTTGGCCTGACACCAAAATTGCACCTGCTAGAACAATTAATCGAGTCACACATTGGGTGAGGCTCATAGAAACTAGAAATTTTATTTTAAAGCTGAGTTATCTCATACAGTGGTTTCTAGAAGTTTCCAGTCACCTTGAACATGTGGAGCCTGAATTCTAATGCCATCTGCGATGTATTTGACTTTTAGTCATAGCATTTAAATGAAGGTAACTGTGATTTTAAAATAGTGTTCATAGAAGCTAGAAACATGGCAGATATTGTGAATTTTTTTAGTAGGTTTTATTGCATGATAGTTGCAGGCAGTAGCAAAATAAATTATGTTTTCTTCCTGTATTTGTATTATATGGTTATCATCTTGATTTTATCACAATGCAATCATTTTTAAAATAATTAATTTTGCCAGAATTAATTTGGGGACTTGTCTATGCCAATAATTAACATAGCTGTTGATAATATAACCCTAAATAATTGTCAATAGTAATTTAATTTTATACCAAAATATCATAAAATTTAAAATATTCCTCAGAATACATTTATGTAATGAGAAATATAATGCTCTAAGTTTCAGTAAAATTTGTTCAGAATGCTATATTTTGTTATTTTGTGTGAACTTTTAGATGATTAAATATATAGGCTGTTTCTGCACTGAGAAATGAAAGAACAAAGATAATTATAATTTAGGAATATAGACTTAAAATTTTTTTTTAAACAATAGCCAGACAATTGAGGTAAAGGGAAATTCTTTTTTTTTTTTTTTTTTTTGAGACAGAGTCTCACTCTATCACCGAGGCTGGAGTGAAATGGTACCATCTCAGCCTCCTGGGTTCAAACAATTCTTCTGCCTCAGCCTCCCGAGTAACTGAGACTATGGGAGCACACCATCACACTCAGCTTGCTTATTTATTTATTTATTTATTTATTTAAGTAGAAACAGGGTTTTACCATGTTGGCCAGGTGGGTCTCAGACTCCTGGCCTCAATTGATCCACCTGCCTCAGCCTCCCATGGTATTGGGATTACAGGCGTGAGCCACACAGCTTGACTCAGAGGGAGATTTGATGACTAATTATTTGTCTCAGTTTTTAACTATATTCTATTAATGTACATATATGTGAAAATATATACTTCTAATAGTTTACTAAAATTTGTTATTTCTCAACTAACTGTGCCCTTTGTTTAGAAAACAAATATATTAACATAAGCAAAAAATAAAAATAAAAATTGTTTACAACCACACAATCTAGAGAAAACAATAAGCATGTAACTATGCAATACGTTTTAATGTGAATTATCAAAAACTGACTATATTTGTACAGATTTTCAAAAATCATTCCCATATATAGAAAAATATAGCCATATTTGTATATATTTAATTAATTTTTCTTTTTTTAGAGATAGTTCTTGCTTTGTTGCCCAGGCTGGAGTACAATGATGAGATTACGGCTCACTGCAGCCTTCAAACTTTGAATTCAAGTGACACTCCCATCTCAGCCTCCCTAGTAGCTGGGACTACAAGCATATGCCACCACGTCTGGCTAATTTTTTATTTTTTGTAGAGATGGAGTCTCACTATGTTGCCCAGGCTGGTCATGCTTTCCTGGGCTTAAGTGATCCTCCCACCTCAGCCTCTCAAATTGCTGGTATTACAGGCATGAGCCACGGTTCCTGAGCGAGGTATACATTTTTAATAGAAAATATTTGAACAGGTTGGGTGCAGTGGCTCATGCCTGTAATCCCAACAGTTTGGGAACCAACGTGCACAGGTCATGAGGTCAGGAGATCAAGACTATCCTGGCTAACATCGTGAAACCCTGTCTCTACTAAACATACAAAAAATTAGCCAGGCATGATAGCATGCACCTGTAGTCCCAGCTACTCGGGAGGCTGAGGAAGGAGAATCGCTCGTGAAACCCTGTCTCTACTAAACATACAAAAAATTAGCCAGGCATGATAGCATGCACCTGTAGTCCCAGCTACTCGGGAGGCTGAGGAAGGAGAATCGCTTGAACCTGAGAGGCTGAGGTTGCAGTGAGCCTAGATCGCACCACTGCATTCCAGCCTGGGTGACGGAGCAAGACTCCATCTCAAAAATAATTTTTTTTTGTAACATTTTTTGTGTCTCTTAGTGGCTGCTCCTTGTGTCAAAAGTTTTTATTTTCGATTGATTCTGAGTTCTGGCATTTTAAAAGATTTATTTAAACTAAATACAAGCCCCCTTGTTTTTTGACAAGCCCTCAATTAACTGATTAATCATAGAAAATTTTAGGATCTTAGTGTGCAACAAATTAAAAAGTAAGTCATTTAAGCCCTAATTCTGATGCCAGATGTCTTCTTCAATATTCTTGCTGTGGTTATGAAGCCTCGGATAGATTGTCTTTATTAATGAGAGGCTCACTTCCTTTTGGGGGCTGTCCATCTTGAAATAATTTTTGCTACTAAAAATATTTTCTTATGTTGTTCTATGATTTATGTTTATATGGTCTCTAACCCTCAGAAACATCAGAGGTCTAGTCCCTCTTCTGCAGGGACAGCAGCCCAACCACAAAATTAAACACAGCAGCAGATTTCTCCATCCTCTCAGCTTCTTTCTCTGTATTTCCTCTTCTTTAGCATAAATGCCAACAATTCCCTAAGGCTGTCTTTATGTTTCAAAGTATCTGATCGTGTTAGAAACAACAGACCATATTATTATTCCATTCTGACAGAAACTATCAGTTTTATGTAGAAGTATCATTTAAATTAGATTCAAATTTCTCATGATAAATAATTGCGATATTTATTTTTTCTAGAGAGATAAAATTCAATGAATTGCTATATTGAAATCAGGCAATGTAATTTGCGATATTTTTCTTTCAGTGATGTTTTATGGGGCTATTAAATCTAATCCTTAAGTCAGTAAATTTTATTTTTAAGGTCTTAGATTCATCTGATATATTTATGTATCACCAGCCACTGGACAGAGGATAATCCTAAAACCCTTAGCTCCTTGACTATCCAAATATGTTGAAAATATAATACATAATTTCACAAATTACCTAGTACCAAGTTCTGGCTCTTTGAATACACTACATTTAAAGGCAAAAGCTCCAAATCTGCAAAGTTGGTTATACAGCATTATCATTTCTATTTCTAATTCCTTAATCAAAACAGTCATTAGCAGTGCAAATAATAAAGGAAATTGGATTACAAAGGAAGTAAAGATTAGTGACTTTAAGAGCAGATAGCTGGTTTTACAAAGTCAGGCTGAAGTTGGGCTCAATTTTATAATTCAGATAGACAATGCAACTACCTTGTAATAAGCCTTTTTAATTTTAAAGATAAATTACTGAGTATTTTTGTTTGTTTGATGAGAATTTTACATGAAATCCATCAGTAGCAATGGATTAAATCATTATGCATTTTAACAGGATGACCTAAAACATAGCAAATCACCTCAAATCATGAACATTGCTTTTTAAACATTTTATTATTATTATTATTATTATTATTATTATTATTATTATTATTTGAGACAGAGTTTCACTCTGTTGCCCAGGCTGGAGTACAATGGCATAATCTTGGCTCACTGCAACCACTGCCTCCCAGGTTCAAGTGATTCTCCTGCCTTAACCTCTGGAGTAGCTGGGGTTACAGGCATGCACCACCACAGCTGGTTAATTTTGGCATTTTTTTGTAGAGATGGAGTTTCACAATGTTGGCCAGGCTGGTCTCGAACTCCTGACCTCAAGCGATCCACTCCTGACCTTAAGTGATCCCAAAGCGCTGGAATCATAAGCATAAGCCACCATGCCCACCTGAACACTGCTTTTTGAGGTGTAACTTGAGAAATTGCTTTTTGGTGGATTCAGTCAGTGCTTTGTCTTTTCTAGGTCCCAAGATTTTGACTAGTTGGTTATATGACTAGAGTTGCTGGACTTCAAGTAATTTTATTTTAACTATTAAACTGAAAGCAGCATGTTACCAAAGAATTTACTGAGAAGAAGCAAAGTAGTACTTGGAAGAACTCTAAATAAAGTTAATTAAGGTTCCTACCAATGTAGATTGGCAAAATCTTTGGTCAGTTTCTGCCTTCAAGATAGTCTTACTTTGTACCCTGGAGGCTGGTTAGATTTACTGGGCTGATGTCTGCATAATGCAAAAAGCATCTCCGCTATTTAGATTTCTAGATTATACATATTAGGTATATAAATATTAATAAAAATTTTCTGCCCTTAAATATTACATGTCACAGTTAATATTCTGCACTCTCTGTCTAGATATCTACTTTTCAATATTTGCTGCTAGAACTTTATTAATACATTTGAAGCTTGCTTTTTCTCTATGTGTGAATTTTATTGGGAACATTATGTTCAAATAACTTAGGAAAAAATATTGGTTATTTATTTTTTGAGGGAAGATAGGAATGTAGCATGTGTTCTACAGTTTTAGCAATGTAAGATATTGTTGAGATAAATGGAATCTTAGACACAAAGTGCTTCATTTTGTTAAACATAGCAGAGGAATGCTTTAGTGTCTCATGAGAACATCAAGTTTCCCCATTATTTAAGAGCTAGCATAAGTTATCAAGGATCCTGAAAAAGAGCTTCCTGCATTGGTGGGAGACTGGGTGGCACTGGCTTGCAATTATGCTGCCCATTGGAACCCCCTTGAAAGTTTAAAAAATACTGAGGCTTGTGTCCTAGCCTTAGGCATTCTGATTTAATTGGTCTGAAGCATGGTTTGGGATTGGGATTTAAAAGTTTCTCAGGTAATTCCAATATGCAGCCACAGTTGAAAACAGCTGCTCTAAAATGGCATCTAACCAACATTAGTGATTTCTTCTAACATGCGTTAATGATTTTTAAAGCTATGTTCTCTAAAGAAACCCCTAGACCTGGAAATTGCTCCATGCAAAGAGATTCTGCGGCCGAATAAACTTGAAAGTGTTATGTATCTTCTTATCCTCTTGGAGAAATCCAATTTACCTGGACATGTTGAAGATGACCGTAGGCCCAGTGTAGTGTCTCACATCTGTAAAGCATTTTGGGAGGTTGAAGCCTGAGGGTTGCTTGATCCCAGTAGTTTGAGACCTGCCTGGGCAATATAGCAAGATCCTGTCTTTAAAAATAAATATTGAAAAAAATTATGTATATATGTTAGTCAGGCATGGTGGTGCAAGCCTGTGATGCCAGCTACTCAGGAGGCTAAGGTGGGAGACTTGCTTGAGCCCAGGAGGTCAAGGCTGCAGTGAGCCATGATCACCCCACTGCACTTCAGCCTGAGTGACAGTGAGACATTGTCTCACACACACACACACAAAAGGCAATGGTAAAAAACATTTCTAATCCAGTATTTCACAGAATCAGGGTGCTTATTTTTTATAACAGCTATTATGATCCCGTAAAACGAGCGTTCTTTGGCTCACACATTGGCTAGTGGATTTATATTTTGCTGAGTTACTTCTGATCTCTGTGTTTTAAAAATAAAATTCTGGCTGGGTGCAGTGGCTCACTCCTGTAATCCCAACACTTTGGGAGGCTGAGGTGGGTGGATCACCTGAGGTCGAGAGTTTGAGACCAGCCTGGCCAATATGGTGAAACCCCATCTCTACTAAAAACACAAAAATTAGCTGGGCACGGTGGCGGGTGCCTGTAATCCCAGTTACTGGGGAGGCTGAGGCAGGAGAATTGCTTGAACCTGGGAGGCAGAGATTGCAATGAGCCAAGATTGTGCCTCTGTACTCCAGACTGGGCAGCAGAGCAAGACTCTGTAAATAAAATAAATAAAATTCCCACTTTCGTTGCTTATCTATGACATTATACAAAAAAAAAAAAAAAAAAACTGTTCTTGATCATATGGTCTTACATTGGTAATTTTCATATCTGTGTGGTTGTTGAGTAAAGTGCATATTGGCATGAACCCCACTGGAACTGAGGTTCTGCTCTGGGCTACTCCCTTCAGACCCAGTGTTTATTAATGCAAAGGACTTGGCAGTAAGAACTTCCATCTTTAGTGTCCAAATTGATAAAAACAGGCAAGGACTACCAATCTTGCTCAAAAGTTACCATTTATTAGTTACTTAAATCCCTTTTGAATTTACTCTCTTCTGCAGATTACATTATAAGCTCTCTGTCTTAAAATGTCTGAAAATCTCAAAAGCATCATGAGATGTGTTTCTTTGCCTGGGATGAAAACTGGAAGTTATGAGATGGAAAGAGTGGAGAATGGAGTGATCGAGGCTGTGAAGGTGTAATGAAGAGAAGGCAGGTCCATTCACAAATGAGAGTTAGATTGAGTGATGGTAAATTAACCTTGAGGCTGGAGGAGGCAGTAGACATGCCATTTATCATTTCTCCTTGGGTAGAGATGACGATGTGACAAGATTACACACACAAAAGCAAAGCGACCTGTGCTGTCTGTTTACTTCACATCTCAGGTGGTGTCTTACTTGATTTTTTGGCAGCATGACAACTTGGCCTCCGCCTCCTCTATTTTCTTCCCTTGGCTTCTGGAACCCTGTGCACTCCTGGTTTTCCTCTTATGGCTTTGACTGCTTCTTCTGGTCTCTCCCAGGTTGGGGAAGACATTCCTATCTTTGTTCCCATTATGACCTATATCCACTTGTTTGCATTATGACTCTGGCTCCAACTACTAAAAAGATTTCTTTCATCGTATTTTCACTGTATTATTTTTATATTAAATATATAACATGATATTTTATATTAATTATAATATCTTCAGTAGTAAGAAGTATACTATTCATTTGTCTCCCCAAATTAAGCCAGACACCTAATAGGGCATTGAAAAGTGTTTATTCTTTTATTATTTTTATTACTTTAATTTTTTTTTAAGATATGGTCTCACTCTGTCACCCAGGCTGGAGTGCATGCAGTGGCACAATCGTAGCTCACTGCAGCCTCAAACGCCCGGGCCCCAGTGATCCTCCTTCCCCAGCCTCCCAAGTAGCTGGGACTACAGGTATACACCACCACGACTGGCTAATTTTTGTATTTTTGGTAGAGATGCAGTTTTACCAGGTTGCTCAGGCTGGTCTCAAACCCCTGAGCTCAAGTGATCCTCCTGCCTTGGCCTCCCAAAATGTTGGGATTACAGGTGTGAGCCACAATGCCCAGCCAACAGATGTTTGTTAAACTAAATTAATTGATTGATCCCATAAACACTCAAGAGATTCAATAGGGAAATGAAATAAATGCCAGAAGGAAATGGCACCAAAAAGAATAGTGACTTACCTTTCTAATGTATGCAATTTTCTTGCCGCTTAAAACCATAGCTATTTTTGATTACAGCACTGATAAATATTTATTGTATTTAAGTAACTGGTATTGTAGAAGATCTGAAAAATAAAGAAAGAAATGATACAAAATGCACAAATCTACGACCCAAATATAACCATTGTAAATCATTGTGTGTTTTCCTCAAGGTCTTTTTCTAGGCTTAAGTAGGAGTGTATGTATATATATATATATGTAGGGGTGTATGTGTGTGTGTGCACGTGTGTGTGTGTGTGTGTGTGTGTGTGGTGTGTGTACTTTTCTCAAAAGAATTTGGGTCATAATGAAACCAAACACTTTGTACTTTTTTGGATTCAATATATTCTTTCACTTGGCAAGTATTTGTTGAGGGCTTAATATAATGTCCTAAGTACTATTTTAGGTTCTGGGAGTGCACCAGTGAAGAGTATTTTAAATGTTTTGCTGACAAACTTGATTTTAAATGACTTACTAATGTTTTACATTTTAGGTCAACTAACTTGATTAATTTAACCAATTTCTGACTGTTGTTACCATTTCACACCATGATTAGTAATCTTGCAACAAGTAGCTTTATTCATAAATCTTTGTGTTTTTCTTTAATCACTTACTAGGAGGAATGGAAGTAAGCTCAAAGATTAGTTAACAAACTACAAAGCATGAACTTTTTAAAAAGTTGTGCAGGGATACTTCAATAAAAGGTTTTAGTAATCTATAATCCTCAATTTCTATCAGTGTATGAAGGAACCCATCTTGCAACTCTCACCGGTATAACTTACATTTTCAGTAGGAAATATATTTATCTGCTTATATATTGCCTCACATTAGTATGTATTTTACTCTACTATGTGTAGCTTTCATATTCTATGTAAGTATGTATTCTTGTTTTTTCTTCAATTTTTTTTATTGCTTCTCATTGGATGTGCCTATTCAGGAAATATAAACATTAAAGGAAACCCCTAAAATCCTGTAGTAAGGCCTTTTTTTTTTTTTTTTTTTTGGATCCAAGTTATGTTTTAGCTTACTAGTTGAAGTCCTGGGGTTTTCAGAATGGTTTCCTGATCATTTTTTTCCTTGGTTAACATATTCAGTTCAGGTGTGCATGTTTAGTAGGGGTATATACATTAAGCAAGGCAGATGTTCAGTGAAAGTCAAGTGTCCTTCAAAGAATAATGGCAGCATCCCAGGGGTTCCCTTGGAGTGTGAAACTTTCTATAAGCATCATCATCTGCTGAGGGAATCCTGATGTGTCAGCCTCTTCATGAGCTTAACCTGGATCAAGGTATCTGACTGTACTGTCCTTTGTGGGTTACTGTCTCTGTTTCTAGACATATTGATAGAAAAGGTTTAGATATCACAACAAAGAATATTTTTTTATCTCAATCACTAATTAATAAAAGGCGCACCCTTCTGAAAGCCAATTATTAACTTATTGAAAGGAACACATTTTTAATGTCAAGATGTGCTATTTGTGAAATATTTCTAAGTGTTACTACAAAGTAATCTAAGTAGAGTGCTATTTAACTAAAGAAAAATAAATAATAATTCTGTATTCTTCATCTGTGGGAGTCACAATGCTGAGGTTGCAATAAAAAATTAAACGGAGTTCAGCTAGTCTCTAGAGCAAGGCATCTTTGCTTTTGGTACAAGAGGTGACACTAGTAGATAACTCCTTGTTTGGGGTGACTGTAACTCTAGCTTTATAGCTTCCTCTGTGATCTTTGTTTTTCCCTAGTTTGATGCTTTATTTCCTATGGAC